GCGTGTCGGGTTCTCTGTCGTGGTTGCTTGGTGGCTGCTGCACTGATGATCGTTGTCACTTCTGCTGGTGTGTATACATGATTAGTTCAGGAAATTTTGAAAAGAAAGTGAAATATTGTTTTGTTTTTTTCTCAATGAGGGATGGTTCATGAGTTATTTGATTGGTCATGTTTCAGGAAATTCAAGATTTATAAATCTGTTGCATGAAAAAATGCTTGTTAGGATTTATGGGTGATGAGAACAATGATGCTTTCTTGGATTGCAGGAGAATCTCATTACAACAAACTCATGGGGACCTGGAAGATAATTCTTTGAAACAAAAAATGTGTTATAATGAGACTCCTTGCAGTCAATACATTTCAGACTGCAATTTTGCAGGAAATGGTTAAGGAATGCTCTTTAAGTGCTTTGAAGCCAATCAGTTGAGACCTGTCATGATTTCTAATAGTATATCTGCCTTTCAACTACTGTACAACATAATGTGCAATTTGCCTGGAAAAAATACATGAAACTAGAGAACCCAAAGGGAGGGGGGGATACAGTGAGACCCAAAGATGCAAACATAATTGGCGCAACAAGAGTTCAAGACTGTCAAGAGTTAAAGAATTTATGTTGGGGATAACAGTCACCACAACACAAGAAAAGAGAAAGAAGCTGTGGATCAAAAGAATTAGAAAGAGAAACACAGAATCAGCCTGGGACAAGGCTGAGGATTCTTGGTAGAATCCCAACTTTAACTTTAAAGTGTATTTCAATATATAGTCCCAAACAAAAACAGTAAAGATTTCAACAAGTCTCAAAATATATTAATGACCAAAAAACCTAAGTCAATATGTCAACAAGTTGAGTGTGGACTTCTCATAGACTTGAATTATATAATTATTAATTGGTGTTTTACGGAAGAAATATTCTTTGAAATTCCATGGAAACAAATTTTCTGCCAATTGAAATTGATTCCATGAATATCTTTCAACTCAATAAGAGCATTTTGAGCATTGAATACTGTACCTCTGTACAGTACATTGAAATGTTGGCATCTGTAAAAATAACGTTCAAGTCACGAAGAGAGAAGGAAGTCACTCTATGCTGTAGGTAATTTTTTTAATTAACTGAGTTGATTGGAAAATGATGGGAAAATACAAAAGAATTTTCCTTACATGAGATGTTAGGGTTGGAAATATCTGTTTCTTAAAAGTCAGCCTGATGAAAGTTACATTTTCCAGAAACTTATATTGGCAATTTTATCATGCAATTTTGGCATGTCCAAACACTGTCCTAATGTTGGGCCTATTTTATTGGAAAATAAATGTATCTATGTTGAATTGTCCAGATATTGAGGTGTCTGCATGTGAGGGTCTCACTGTGCTCGCTTGCATATTCACTTATTCATTCAAGAAAGTTTTTCTTTTAATAGAGGAAATTATTTCTACCAGACTGTTTCTTTGTCATACATAGAAATGGACCTAGAGTTTTTCCTATAGAAATACTGTGTATCATTCTTTCTATTTTTTTGTGGAGACTGGTAAAAGAGGTGTTTTTCAAGACGTAAAAACTTATTAAACTTTACGACGTGTTCAATAATACAAGTGAAAAAGACGGATTAAAGTTTAATGGACATACAACAGATTCATGACTTAGTCACGGTAATTTTCATGAAACTCATATCACAGTTAAAATGTGTTCCATATTACAGCTTAAATCTCATAAAATGAGACTTTTGTAACATAAGTCCTGTAGAGAGAATCATTTGGGACCAGGACAAATTCTTTTCAACTAAAAATGCGTTTTAGCAAGAAATTTATGCGTTGTAAAAAGAAATGCGTGAAAAATGCTTTGCAACAAGGTTCTTCATATAGCAAGATTTTTTATAATTAGGTTCATCAGAACAAGATTTTTTCTAACAAGATTCATTAAAACAGGATTTACCTTATACATACGGGTTAATTTATTTTTAAGTATTGCATAGATATTTTTGGAATCGCATAATTATTGCTTACAGTAGTATGATTTTGTTTTTGTGTTCTATTGAAATAGCCACAATCTTCTATTATCAATTCTTCTTGACAAAGCTTTCTGCCTGGTCCCAGCAAGGGCTTTGTTGCAATGAGATTTTACTGGTTTTGAACAATTGTGTTCAATGCCCTGAACAACAATGTAGAAAAAATGCTGAAAATCTTGCTTCCAAAAGATCACAATTATGTTATAGTCGCATTTGTGTACTAAAAAGACGTCGAAAGAAACATAAGTACCTGTACAAAATATTTAAATAAGAATATCACTCCGTAACAAAAATGACATGAAGACGACACGTTTTTATACAATGAGACTACCTTTTTAATAACCTTAATTTGTTCAAGTATGTTGATTTCAATTTTTAGATTATACTCTGGGATGGAAGTATAATGAACCTTCAATTTCAGAAAGAGGTTTCACAATTTGTTTAGAAAATCTATATGTAACACGTTTTGGTAGAATAACAAATTTTGACTCCCTCAAATAAGTTTGATGATAATAATTGAATTAAATATATATCTCTTTCTGACTAAAATGTTGACAATTGACTTGAAAATATGTTCAGATGAAAATATACCTGCAATGAATATTGTATTTCAGCTGCCTGTGAAGGAATACTGGAGTTCCTCTGTAATTTTTTTTATTATTTCATGCTTAGTGGATATTCTGGGGCTCAAGGGAATAAAAAGCTTTGGGAATGATTCTACACTCTTCATGCTAACATCTTTTTTGAATCTCACCTTGATTATTTGTGATGCAAATACGTACTGTACTGCATATATTTGAATGCTTGAAAATTCTGGGTGAATGCCGGCTTGAAATTTGAACAGAGAGAATGCTCAGCAATTGAATATAATTGAGGCTTCTTCAAAGCTTGTTACAATCTATATTAAAAGCTTGGATTTTCAAATAATTTGAATTTCAAGTTATGCAGAAGACTTTTGAACCATCCCTTTATTGTAAGTTATTTTACAGTAGTTGGTTTTTTAAAGTTCAATGTGATTTGGGTTGAATTTCATCTTTTGCACCGTTTTTTTTGTACTTCTGTTTGTTCACAGTGCCATTGCAGAGAGAGGCAGATGACTTGAATGGAACAACAATTGGTGAGGAATTCTGCTCATTTTCAGTTGTTCTTTGATTTTGCACTAATCCTGGGACATTTTTAATCTGGTTCTACAAGAGTTTCCACTCATTTTTTACCACAATTTTCCATTTACAGGTGCATGATGTACAAGAGAATATAATATTTATATTAATTAATATTAATTAATATTAATATTATTTTATATGCTAAATATGTTTTGAAATCATGGATATATGTTATTTTATAGGCTTCAGTTTTCTTCAGATGATTGATTTTTTCAATATGTAAGGGTATTTGAATAAATTTTACAAAAAAGCATTTGATGTGATTGTAATTCAATGTTGGCTTTATCAAGCTGTGTAGCTTAGTTTGATGTGTTTACATCAGTTTAAACAGGGTGAATTACTTTAGTTGGGTTTTATCAGATTACATTTTTGGACTGAACTGTATTACTCTCAATGGGTTAGTTAGGTTTGAGTAATAAGTTTGTTTTGGTGATCACAAGCTCAATTCATGTCCATTGCACAAAGCCCATTTGTTTTTCTAGTTTTGCATTTTCATAAACACTTGATCTAATTTCTGAGTCCAAAATTTCTGGAAAGTAAAGCAACCAGAGTGTCTTTGAAGATTTGAGGAAATCTAAATTGGCAGCATGCAACAGGTTTCATTAAAAGTTAGATAAGTAAGTTTTTAGATACAAGCTCTTTTTCTCTTTTTCTCCATTTCTCATGCTTTCATAGACTAATGCATGTGTTTCTGGAGTTTGGTGGTATATATATATATGTATATACATTGATGCTGAATTCTCTATTTTTTGACTGAATCTAAAAGGGCTAATATAAATCAGCCATCCTCTATCACATGAAGAAGTCATAAATAAGACAAAGAATAACACTGAATGCTCTTCTTTTAAACATAAATGCCATTCTGTATTGAAATGTCTTTATTCAAACAAGCAGGATTATCTGTACAGTACTCCTTCCATTTTGTGATACACCACCAACCATCCCATTTCATCAGCAATCATGTGATAACTTCAGAGCTTGAAAAAAAGGCATGGAATAATTTAAGAATTTTTTATATTCAAATAATTTCAAATCCCAGACGTTTTTGCATAACTGGTATGACTTTTAAAAATCACAGACAACATTTGAGTTCCATTAAAAAGGGTAAAATGGGTGACTGAGTTTTTCCTTGAGCACTTCCTGGTTCATTTGGTGAAAATATTCCACTGGGTTGCAGGTTACATCTTTGACAGCAAACTACTGCTTGTCATTCATTTTAATGCAGATTTTTAAACATATATTTTAGAGCTCCAATTGCATTAACAATGCACCAAGTCGGTGTGACTGCATGAGCTAGAAAAATTCAGTCCAACTCCTTTTGCAGCCAGTATCTGAATGTGTGTCATTTTCTTGGTCCTTGATTGATGGATTGTTGCTGCAGAGATGGGAAAATTGCTATAAAATTACTCCAACCACTGTTGAAAAATCTTATGTTGATAATGCAGTACATTTGAAAAAAAAAGACACACCTGTTGCATCACCATCAAGTGTCTCTGGGTGACTGTGGTTGAAGACATGTAGCAGTTACTTCCAGCTTGCACCTCAGGTGTGATGTGAGTGATGCATGATGTGTCATTCCTTCACAAAAACATTGCATCATATATGTTCTTATGCATTATTCCAGGCTGAAGGCAGGACACCACTTCTGTTTGATGAAGAAATCTCATGACAGAGGACAAAACTTTAAATTTAACTCTTGCAGGTTGGTTAGCTTTCAAATTCTATTTGCAACATGATTGAATGACTCTCATGGCTTATTTTTTTTTGTTACAGCAGCTGCTTTTGCAGAACATTTTTCTCACTGATATAATCACCAGGAATCACCAGCATTGCAATAAATACTATGATGATGAGACATCTTCCTTTTATTGCTTATATCCTCAAAGCACATGAATCATTTCATATTGAATCCAAAAAGAGGGTCAACCGGCTTTTAAGTATGCAGAAAGAAAACTGATTTATGAGACTCAATGAGCAACAAGACATTGTTAATAAACTGGGAACTATATCCTGCTCATCTCCACAAAATGGACACTTTTTTTTGGTGGAAATGGTGATGGATTTATAAACCTGCATGTAACTTTTGCTAACCAAGCTGTCTCAGGCATTTTTTAATAATTCATTTTTTCTATATTTCTTCCCAAATAATTTGGCTGAAACTTGAATCTTTACTCACAGGAAATACTGAGGGAACCACAACAGATGTACCAACAACAACAGAGCAAGATGATGCTGAAACAGAGTCAGTTGAGGATTCCACCATCCCAGCTACTGCGCCAAAAATTGAGGCAATTCAGGAACCAGAAAATCCTGATTTGCAAGACAAAAAGGCTGAAAGTAGGACACTGGAGGTTTCCAGCACAAAACGTGATGATGCAAAAATTGAAGCAGTCACGGAATCCGTGACCAATAGTGCTGGTGAAACAGGGACTGAAGCAGTGGAGCAATCCTCAGACCCCATAACTGAACAAAGTGCCTTAGAAAGTGAGACTACTACTGAATCTCATGATCTCACAACTCAAGAGCCTGAAACTGAGACAGAAGAAAGCACTGATGTGGAAATTGAGACTGTGAAAGAGCCAAGAATTGAAAAACTCGAGTTTGTTGTTCCTGAGACTCTTGAACAGGCTGTAGATCCCATCAGGAGTGAAGAAAACAATGACATCATCAAAACTGAGACATTTGCATCAGAAATTCCACATCATGAAGCTGTTGAAACTGAGACAGTGAAGGCATCTGAAACTTCAGAAACCACTGAGAAAACTGAAGTTGTTCCTACTGGTGAGACTCTTGATCAGTCTCAAGATCCCAGAAATGAAGAGCAAGAAACCATCATTAAAACCCAGACACCTGATGACTCCACAATTCCAGAAAGTCAACAGCATGAAATTCTTGCAACTGAGACAGTGGAAGAACCTGTGGTTCCCAGAAGTGACCAAGATGCCAGTAATGACCTTGAAACTGGCAAACAAGCCAGAATTGACAACATTGAACAAGTTGAAACTAGAACTGAACCAGCAGTCCAAGAACCAATAAACCCAACCACAAATCAGCCTGAAACAGTGGTACCAGCTGAGGGGCTTGACCAGTCCACAAATCCAAATGATGTAACAGAAAATCCTGATGCCATGGAACAGATCACTGTGAAAGAAAATATTGAGAAACTGCTTCAGGATGATGAACATCAGGAAAGCTTCACTCAAGAAAATCATCAGACTAATGGTGATAGTGATGCAAACCCAACAACCACTGAAGCAGTAGTGGACTCAACTGAAACGTTCTTGAAGGAGTTGGAGGCAATGATTGTCACTGAAAATGATGAAGTGCCAACAACTGACAAGTCTCAGGAGGCAGAAAGAGATATTTTGACTGGGACCACTCATCACAGTCCTGAAAAGACTGATGGTACAGCTATTTTTCATATGAAGTTCATTTGTTCACTTCCTTATTATTGTGCAAGTTTGTTCAAACTCCATTACTGTACAAAAATCCCAACATAGTACTTAGGGGTATTATTTGCATATAAATTTGAAATTCATACAAGAAAAGGTGAGGTGGCATAATTTGAAAGCTAACATTTAATTGTAACATGTAAAAGGAGAGAAAACTTTGTTGTTGTTTAGGATACAATAGATTCTGCTGGCACATCTTGAAATAAGAGGAGTTCATGCAGATGCCTTTTCAGGACCATGACTTTAAAAACAGGTGGAGAGACCTTGAGGCAAAGTTTTAAAAATTAACTCTGTCCATTAACTGTCAGCTGGTTATTGAGGTCCTAAACAATTTTGAGCAAATTAAAATGAGAATTGTTGAAGTTCAAAGTACAGCATTTATTTCTTCCCTGTTTTAAAGTTTGTTCCTGGAATCATACATAAAGATTTCTAACCATTATTTTGCTTCTCCACTTTTCAAAACCATATTTCAGGAAATGATTCATTTGTTCACTCTTTCTCAAAATATTCATGTTTTTGTGAGTTGTTTGAGCAAGTTAATCTACTAAATTTGAGAGATTTGTAACAGGGAATAAATTTCAGATTATTTTCCAGCAATGCCAGAAGAACAGTTCATATACTCATTTTTCTCCTACTGTGTTCAGCAAAAGAATTGCTCAACACAAATAGCAAATAAAATTAACAAATTTGTATGAAAATATGTAGTTTTGACCTGAGAAACTTCATGACCGCTCTTGTGGCAAGTTCTTTTGATTTAAAATATTTTGATTGTGTCAAAAAATCAAACTTGAAAGAATGAAATTCTACAGATTGCAACTTTTCCAAAACATCTTGATACTGGGCATGAGGATTTTAATAGAATTATATTTCTTTGTCAAAAAAATTTTGTTCCAACAAATCTTCACCTGTATTTGTGGTACATCCTGTACTCACATGTTAAAGACCTTCAAGTTCCAAACCAAAGTGCCAAAAAATAAGATTTGAAGCCTTGTTTATTCATCATATATGGTTTTAAGCTTTTGGACAATCCTGCATATCACAATAGAGAGAAATGCTTTCTTCTGATAAGGAATAGAAAATTATGTGTATTATGAAAATCTGATTAGTTTTCTTTTTCTTTAAAAAAAATAAAGGTGATGCTGCTGATGCAACAACAATCCAGTCTGCTTCACAAGATCCAGCATCAGGGGACTGGAGAAGCCTAGAGGATCATGAAAAGGAAGAACCAGTTCCAGTGTTTGAGATCAAAATAGTGCCCAAGAAGTACCCCCAGCTTTGCTGTGATTCACCAACTGTACCAGCAGTGGAAGAACCAGAAGTCACAACAACAGCAACAACACCATCACCACCACCACCACCAACAACAACAACAACAGCAATAGCATCACCAAGCATCAACAACATTGACTCCATCCCTGATGGTATACTGAAACTTTCCTTTTGCTCACTGTATTTATTGGTGTCCATAGTAAGTAATGAGAATCAACTCCATGTTTTGCATCTTAAATTATGCCAAATGCACTTTTATTATTCAATTTCTTCAGAAGTCAGAACATCATAGTTTTAATTATTTTGCCTCATTTTTCAAAAAATTGATCTTTTTAACCACTTGGAGAAAATTAGTGGTATAACATATAAATTTGAGTGTTTTTTATATAAAATCTTAGTTGTGCTGGTTATCAAGGCGCACAAAAAAAAGGATAAGTTCAAGTGAATTGAGATATTAATTTTATTTTAATGCTGTTTGCTTGCAATCCCAACAAACCTTAAGAAATAGAAAATATATCAAATAAATACACATCTCTGGAATGCATGAAAGGCACAAAATTTTCTACATGAATACAATATGCTGGTCCATTCACAATAAGTTTATCAAATACTGCAGTAAGTCTATGGAATTAAAATATATAGAGTATGTGGAAGCAGTGAAACCCTCTATGAACTGCTTTAACTTTAAAAAGGAGTGCTAACCAAGATTAAAATGACTATTTTAAATTTGCCCTTTTTTTCAGCTAAGTCTATGGAATTAAAATATATAGAGTATGTGGAAGCAGTGAAACCCTCTATGAACTGCTTTAACTTTAAAAAGGAGTGCTAACCAAGATTAAAATGACTATTTTAAATTTGCCCTTTTTTTCAGCTGATGTGCAATATTGCATGTGACTTTTAAGGTCTAAATTATTTTTAATTAAAGAAAAATTCAGACTCTCAGCATTTATAGTTTGGTGTCATAGGCCAATATTTTCATTTTTGCAAACAAAAATGGCTTTGAATCTGTAAATAGCAATGCTGGGAAAATGCAATTAAATCTAGGAAATTTTTCCACTTATCTCATTGGAGTAAATCTATCAGTGTTTATGAGGAATAAAGTCCAGTTCACATTCTAAGAATATATATGCTGTACAACAGAACATTTTTTTAAGATTTAAGGGTGGGGGAAAAGTGGCTCACATAACCATTTTCTTTCACAAAAATGGATGGACTTCAGTTATAGTGGTCCAAACTTCTGAATATTTTTCAAATCAAGCCAAAAGTGTGTTTCTGAGCAAAGACAAGTAAAGCTTTTGCTTTTTATTCAGCCCCAACAATTTTGATTCCAGAAATTGAAAGCTTAAGATATAGTCAGAAGTTTATGCTGCTTCATTAATTGTACACCCATAATTTTTATACTGTACTAAAAAATTGCTACTACACACAAAATTAATTTTTTTGTCAGTCTCTGAAGCAGATGACATATTTTTCAAGAGTCTTAGTTTTTTTATGTGACATGGGTATATTACTCATTGTGATTTTAGCGCTGCTGCTTTTTTGCACAAGATTGGCTTTTCTCTTCATCATGAAAACTTGCCTCAAAAGACCAAAACAAAATCTGTAATATCTACTCAATTTTTTTGACAGAGGTGACAAGCTTGGATGAACCATCATCATCATCATCACAGAGCTCATCAAGCAGCAATAATAACAAGGCTCGTCGGATCGCCGCTGATGAAGAAAGGCAACAAGACGAACAAAAGCAGTTGGCCAGTGAAAACATCTCTAAATTCATCTCATTGTTGCTGAGCAACGACAAGCCGAAATCATCGATCGATGGCGAAGATAATCAGGACACGGAAGACAATGCTAATGATAATAATAATAATAATAACAAGCGACCCGACGACGTCATCATCATTCTACCATCGCTGATCCTCCAGGGCATTCTGGGGTGACCTGTTTTTCCCGCCACCAATGGGGCATTAATGTATTGGAAAAGTTGAAGAAAAAAAAAACCTGCCTTTCTTATATGATTGTGAGCCCCAGCAATAATTGCATCTGCACTAATCCATTGTCAAGAAGGAAAAAAAACAAGGAGGTGTTTTATCTTTTGGAAGGAGTGAAACAGAAAATTTTGAAAGAAATGACGAAGAAAAAATAAGGGAAAGGCTGGATTCCTGCTTTTTATGTGTCCTTATTGGCTATGTATGATGTATTGGCGATGGAAAAGTGAAATGTATACCATCTGATTTTTGGTGGATATCTATTGCGAATAAGTATGAATGATGTTGACCAGGATGCATGAATTTGGGCCTTTTATGCCAGCATTTATTGGATATTACATTTTCTTCCAATTTTTTAAACTAATTTTTGTAAAACTTTAAAGCAATATCTGTGCGGAATTTTTTCCTATGAAAATAAGTAATTACTAAAAAACATCGTTGGCGCGTCTTGGGACACACCTGCAGCTGTTCAAAAAAGACCCTTCCACAGGGCTTCAAAACAAAATTGTTGCAAACTCGACAAACCGTCGAGAATATCAAAACACAAACCCATCTCTGGGGAAACAACTTCAACTGAGAGTCAAATTGGCGATGGAAAAGTGAAATGTATACCATCTGATTTTTGGTGGATATCTATTGCGAATAAGTATGAATGATGTTGACCAGGATGCATGAATTTGGGCCTTTTATGCCAGCATTTATTGGATATTAAATTTTCTTCCAATTTTTTTAAACTAATTTTTGTAAAACTTTAAAGCAATATCCCATTAAGTAAACTCATTTTGGTACCAATTACAGTGTGTATACTGAATCTTGAGCATGCTTGAATTCATTATTTCCCCCAAAAATAATCAAAAATATCAATTTTTTAAATTCTTAGATACTTTTTGTGAATTGAATTGAAAAGCAAGCTTTATATTTCCCACTTTCAACAAGGTCTAAGCAATTTTCATGCATCCTAAGTTCCTAACCCCCTCCCCTCCCCCCACATTCATCATAAAACAATCATTCCATCACATCAGAATGGAAAAACAGAGAAATAAGCGGTATGTGGATATTAAAAGAAAAGAAAATACACCCTAAAATTTAACATTGCACAACTGATGTAAATGCATACCCTTTCTCCCTTTCCCTGTTAACAAATGTATGAGTAATAAAAATTGCAGTATAAGGCAATAACTGAACCCAAATTAAGGAACATGGTGTTCAGCCTGCTCCCAGATAAAGTTTAGTTGATTGAAAAATGCAGAGAGAATCTATGGTGAGAAATCATATAGAGTCAACAGTTTATCTTGCTCCTCTAAGATTTTGGAAAGAGTCTTTTCATTGGATTTGAAGAGTCCCAAATCTTTTAGAAGCTCATTTTTGTAGCTGTGGAATGCTTGGCATAAGAAAATAAGTTTTGTGAGGTTCAAATGCAATATCCAATTGAATAAACTCATTTTGGCACACTGAATCTTGATCATGAATGAATTCATCATTTCCCCCAGCAATTCTTGGATATAATTTTTTTCAATGTTTTTAGCAAATTTTTGTAAGGCAAATGTAATTTGGCACCAAGTGCAGATGATCTCTCTCTCTCTCTCTCTCTCTCTCTCTCTCTCTCTATGTATATACTGTATATATATATATATATATACAGTATATATATATATATATAGCAACGTTGTTTACAATTATTTTTTCTGTGTAATAAGTTTTTTTGTTAAAAAGGGGTCACCCATCCCCATGTCTCTCCAAAGAAACTGATAGCTTGAGTGAGTCAACCTGTGTACATTAAGTTGAATCTTGGCTGAGCATGAGTGCACCATTTCCCCCTAGCAAGTATTGATATACAATACACATATTTTTCAATATTTTAAAGATTTCTTTCTATTTTCAAGCTAATTTCTGTAAGATTTCAAATATATACCCTGTAATGGGTAAACTCATTTTACCACCAACCATGTGCTGAATATTGATCATGCACGAATCCGCCCTTTTCTCTTGCAGCAATTATATAGTGTTACTCGCATTTTCTCAAATTTTGAATCAATTCTTGCTATTTAGAGCTTTTTAAAAGACTTTATGAAATCAATACACTGGATGCTATATGATCAAGTGAACTCATTTAGGTGCCAACTATGCACTGGCAGCATTGCATGTATTCAGCTGCTACCTCAACATTAAACCTTTTTACTTTGAAAATAATGTCATTTGAAAGTGATCAGAGTTGTTTTGTCAAACCTTGCTAAATTTACCAATTAGTGTCTTAAGCAGGTTCAATACAAGTTTTTTTTCTCTTGCAACCCAATAAGTTTGATATTGGAAAGGGAACACAACCAAATATAACAGCTTCCAAACTTTCCTTTTTCAACAATGCCAATTTTATATGTAGATATTTATCTAAACAGGCAAATGTACATCTTGCTCTATTATTGCAGTTCTTGAGTATTAAACTTAACAAATTTGGCACATGAGTCATTACAAAATGAGTTGTAATCAACATTATTCTCAGTACAGTACAGTGCATTCAAGGACAGGTACTGTATATGGATTATGTGCTTTGAGACTTTGCAGCAAGAGAGCATTAGGCACAATGTAGTATTGTACTGTATAAAAAATATTTAAATTGTGGTACAGTATATTGAAAACAAGGAAGATAGGAAGATATAGGCTTTCATATTAACATGCTTTACCATATAAATTGCTTTGCTTATATGTTTTATACTACAGTATACTGTAATTTATAACTATGTACAATTTATTACTACTGTACTTTTTGGGGGGTCCAGATCTGACACTGGTGGATGAATTAAAGAACACAGCAATCAGCAAATTTAGAATTTGCATTCAATGATCAGCTTTATTGCTGCATATTCAATCCTGAAAGCGGCCTTGATTCAGTTTGGCTTTAATTTAGAAAAAAAAAGGACATTTGAGAGACGATCAATATTGCAAAAAATCTGGTCAATGTATACATCATGTGCCATCAATTGGCTTAAAGACAAAAATACTGTATACTATGGAAGAATACAAGGAGCAATGTATGTCAGTGGAATTCTAAATCGCATCATATACAGTATGTCACATACACCAGTTTTGAATTTTCTGATTCAAGATAATCACAGCAAGCAGCCAGCAAGCAGGTATTAAACTACAATACAGTACTGTACTTGAATTAAAATTATTGTACTCTGAGCAAGAAATTCAAACCCCAGTTAAGAGAGCAATGATAATCCGTGATTATGTCAGTATAAATTATGGACATTTCTGCTGATGCGTGATACTGTATTTTACAAGTACCATATTTACTCAAGTATCACGCACACCTTTTTTCTCAAATTTCAGAAGAAAAAAAGGGGTGCGCCTCATAAAGTCATAAGCAGGTAAAATATTTTCAAGAAGTTTTAGGAAGTTGTGCGTTAATTATACTTGATTATAATGGAGAAATTTGTGACAAATGTACCAAAAAAACTTTTTTTTTACTGAAAAATGTAAAAATTGATCAGATTCATGTTCAATTCACATCCAAAGTCGAATTTTTTGTTTTTATTTTCAAAATTTTTTAATTTTAGAGTCCCTAAAAATGGAGTGCGCATCTTACTCCGGGATACCATTTTAGCCAAAATTTGAACTGAAAAACCTCTGTGCCCCCTTACTCCAGGGCATGGGGTACTCCAGTAAATACGGTATATACCTGCAGTATATATTGCTGCACCTGCTGTAAGAAGTACAGTACAGTGGGCCCCCATCTTATGTCATCAATCTGTTCCAGGATGGACATCATAACATGGGGCTGTCATAAGTTGAAACCCTATTTCCCTTAAGGTTACATTATAAAAAAATTAATTTTTCCAGAAAAAAAATATTAAACTAAAGTTACCTTTATATTTTAACTTTTTGTCAGAAACTGGTCACATCATGGAAGTACTGTGCAAATCAGTGCATAGAACAGAAAACCCTGAGGGTTTTTGAAGTGTGTATACCTGCTCAACATATATACAACCTGCTGCAGCAGACTGCATGCGGTTCTTGGGGGTTATTTTGTGTGACATGCCTATGTTTTGCGTTGGTGCTGAGAATTCAGAATATCATCCACTCATTCTTTTTCTCGTCACTCATACAGTTGGACCTTGATGAATCAAACCTTTCTTGAGTCAAGTACTATTCTTCTGCCTATTTGTCAAAGCACCTGTCTGAATTCCTTCAGAAGTGCTTCCTTGTCTCAAAGGCTTTCCTCTTCAAACCTCCAACTGTAGTATGATGGCTCATTCTGAGAGAGCAGTCCCAGTAAATTTACTCCAGGGATGTTCTTTTTTCCTTTTCATTTCATTTTAATTTTCAAAATTATTTTTCCCAGTATATATTACGTCATTGGGGGTTCATTTGGACATGTATCTGGTTCCCCTGTCTTGGGGAACCAGATACATGTCCAAAAAAAAACGGTTGGTTTTATTTTCATTTTTCCAAAAAACAGTTGGTGGGAGGGAGCTGAGGAACCTCAGAAGCTGTTGTATCATGAAACCCCGAGGTAAGTCAGGGGTTTTTTAAGAGGAAGAAAAGCTTCATAAGTTGAAACCGACGTAACATGGGCCTGTCGTAAGTCGGGGGCCCACTGTATTTCTTTCCTCTTATGAGACAGCTGAATCCCCACTGGAGCTGCAACGCCATTGCAAGGCAAAGATTTCATCAAAAATGAAAACCACTTCTTCAGGACGATTGTTGCTTACTTAAGCCTTGTCTTGCATACAGTACATGGTTTTGCACTGAATATATTAGCATCGCGGAACCGGTCGCATTCCATGAAGATGCAGATTGTTGTCCTATCAACTGGAAATTCAATGTAATATCAGGTAAACTCAAAAGTTTAATTGTTCCAAAAATGGTAATGTGGACAACAGACCTGCTTTTCATCCCTTTTTTCAATCTTTTGCACAGAATGTAATGAAAAGTTTTTCCAAAAGCTCATCCATAATTCGTATACTGCTATATCCCAAGAGAAAAGACTTTTTTTCTCTGCTAGTTTCTATCAGAGCCTTTTTATAATAATGAACATACTGGCTATAGTAAAATCTTGTGACAATGAACCTTTGCAGATTTCATAAAATGTTTCTTGCACTGACTAATTTTTCATGATATTTTAAAGATTAATTACAGTCAACCCCCCTCTAATGGACTTGATTTGTGCAAGGGACAAGTCTGTTAGACAAAAAGTCCTTTACATGAATTCAATTACATAAAAAATTAAAACAATTACTGTACATAAAAAATTAAAAATTTCAATTATAAACACTAATTTTAAACCAAAAGAAGTCTGTTTGGCGGGAGAAAAAAGTGCTTGCAGAGCTGGTCTGTTTGGTGAAAATCCCTTACATGTGAGGTCTGTTAGGCGGGGGGCCACTGTACTAGAAAAACTTACATGAGACCTGCTTATCAATTAGAGCTTGTTTTTCTGGAATTCTCAGATTTTTTATTATTGTTCAAAAAATTGAGTGCTTTTCTGATGAAATTGTTTTGATAATGCATTTCATCAGTGCACCACTCTTCATTCTGAGAGCATTGTGTGTGAAACCAGCACTTGGAACCTTGTTTGTCATAGATTCAGTTCCAATTTCCATCCATGCCATGAGAAGCAGTCAGTCACGTTTGGGATTTAAAAAAATGTCTATACCTGGAGAGTGCATTAAACATTCCTCAAAAAAGTTTTTCATGACAAAATTTGAAGGTTAGTTGAAACAGATGGTTTAAACATATACCCATGGGTCTCCAGCTGACAGGACTTGAGAAAAAGTTTTCAATACTGAAAACTGTTTTGTAATGCTAATTGCTGTAACAAGATTTTCCTTTATGTTTTACCTCATAGATATACTGCATCTCAAAAAGTTTGCTATGCTGGTACGAGGCATCTGCTGCTTACTGCAAAAGCGTTTTATTATTCCCTTATTTGAATGTTGTTTTGATTTCGGTGTGTAACGTATTTTCAATTATAGGCGCCGGAATATGCTTGAGTTGCTAAGACAGGAAAAGAGGTCAACATGTCAATCTTGATATACTGTACCGGTATGCAAAATCTCTACCTTATAGCATTTCTACACCATGAATAGCGTCGACTGCTGGGCTGGCCCCATTAAACTCCTCTATTCTCCGGTTTTCACTCTCTCTGCGGACCTGTTCGTCTCTGTCCGTTGCTCATAACCGTGACGCAGTCTCTCTCAGTTTCCGCTCGTGTCTACACACTCCTGAGGGATAAGGGCGGAACCAAACGAGACAGAGAGTTGTAAATGGGAGGGTGGTATAGTCGGAAAAGGACTGGATTCCCTCCCGACCAAGGGGGCTTGGCATTCTGCGGAGGGACGGTGCAGAAGTTTTGTAACAATTTAACTCGAATTCGAACTTATTTGTCGTACCGTGGTTCATGTCCGGGTACTGTGCTGTACCTGATTCCTCCCAACTTCCTTTGCATATGAGAAAAAAGTTCCCTTTTGAAGAATTTTCAGCCTGATTTAATCATCTACTGCTCATGAACGAAGGCTGTAGACTGTATAGACGTAGAGGCTTTAGCCTTCATATTAGAGTACTGCACTGAATGTACCTATTCCAGCACACTCAGCGTGCATTGAAATAACATGCCCAGAATATTTTTCCAGGGTGAATTATTATCTGATCACTTATGCATAAAGATTTTTCAATTTTTAAATATATTTGTTAATACTTGAATACTTTGATAGCCTTCAAAAATGCGAGTAAAGTTCAGAGTCATCATCAGACTACTGTACCGTAATTTATTTTTCTGTTTTTAAATAGAGTAAAATTTTACCCCATATACTGTATTTTATGCATTCAAGAATGAATTAGTTTAAATTGGGACAAACACAGCAGTAAATGATAGAGTATTAAACCCTGTGAAAATCGATTTCTTCTGCATGCAACAACAAAGGCTTCCACCCAAGGAAGCCCACAAAATTGAGAAAACTTACTTGATAACCTTCGTGACTAGCCACTGTGGTGCTCAAGCGCAATGTGGAGGGGGGTTCAGGAATCCCCAGGTGGAGGCTGGACTGGTTCTGAGAAACTGAAGTGAACACGCATGTGCAATGCTCGTGTACTTTTTTTGTGGAGGTGTGTTATGGAAATCTGCTATATGACAAAAATGTGTAGAACCTGGACAGCTGCTGGGATTCGTGAGAAAGCAAACGTAATTTATCGCCTATTCCTTTGAATCCATGGGAGGTATTTTTGTATGATATCGTCGGAGGTATCAACGGAAGGTGTTCCGACTTCATCTTTGTCTACAACAGGGGTATGTGCAGGGAATGATAAGATTTTCGATTGAAGAAGGCTCGAAATAGGTGGGAATTTTGCGAACCAGGTGTACCCATGAAACAAGTTTCTTTTGGGCTCTGTCCCAAGATGAATTTCCATGTTCTTACAGCAGTTGTTACTCAGCTAGGTCTTCTGGAGATTTCCTCCTTGGTGCGAAGCTGGAAGATTAATCATAGTCGCAGTGACGTGTTGATAAATACTGTGAGTGTCTTGAATGAATGCTGAGCAAACGCGATTTCTAGCGCATGCGCGAACAACTTCCATGTAATTTTAATGAATATGTTCTCGCAACGATGAGCCTGGAAAACTACTATTTTGATGCGCTAAAATTCAGCGTTGATATGGGATCTTCCGTTCTGCATCAGTACAAGTACTGGGACACTATTCACCGGAAAGCACTGTGTGTTTTGTTTGTCGATGCAGCACCTTTTCGAAAAGATTGTCGGTGGTACTTGATAAATTCAGGCGTTTGATTCATTCTAGTTGCATTTTGCGAGACTCATCCTTGAATTTTTTTGTGGTTAGCGGGAACAGTACGGAATAGTTGCAGTATTCGTGAAGGATGAAATTAATAAGTCAGTTCGTTTTTCTATTTTCCTTTTCTAATTTCGTTCTGCAACTGTTAGGTTTTATGACGAAGAAAATATTCCTGTTCGCGAACCTAACAGAGATGCTTTATCTTTTGTGTATTTTCATGACATTCTTATTTCAATTTGTAATGGAAATGTGTATTTTTTCGTGTCTGATGTAGGACGTACAAATCTGCATTTTCTAGTTCCTCGTTCGCGTGAGGGGCCAAGATGATTGTGATTTTCGGATCCCTGAAGGGGTTGCTCAAGATCGATGAAGTGTGCATCGATAACAACATCTTCCGCCTGCACTACAAGGCAACCATGATCTTTCTCATTGCCTGCTCCCTGCTAGTGACCAGCAGACAATACATCGGGGATCCGATTGATTGTATCGTAGATGATGCTGTTCCTGCCAGTGTGATGGACACCTACTGCTGGATCCACAGCACATTCACGATCCCGAATCGTGTGGGAGAAAAAGTTGGTGAGAATGTGCCACATCCCGGAGTTGGACCCGAGGGTGACGATGAGAAGAAGTACCACAAGTACTACCAGTGGGTGTGCTTTTTCCTGTTCTTCCAAGCCATTCTCTTCTATGTTCCGCGCTATTTGTGGAAAACCTGGGAAGGCGGGAAGATTAAGATGCTGGTCATGGATCTGAACAGTCCGATTGTTGATGAAGGAACCAAAGATTCGCGCAAGAAGCTTCTGATAGATTACTTCATGAACAATCTACACAGCCAGAACTTTTACGCGTTGCGATTCTTCCTCTGCGAGGCGCTCAACTTTGCAAATGTTATCGGACAGATTTACTTCATGGACACCTTTTTGGGTGGAGAATTCACCACGTATGGTTCTGACGTGCTGAAATTCCAAGAGCTAGAACCAGAAGACCGAACGGACCCGATGTCGAAAGTGTTTCCAAAGGTTACCAAGTGTACCTTCCACACTTATGGTGTGTCGGGAACTGTGCAAAAGATCGATGGACTCTGTGTGTTGCCCCTGAACATCGTTAATGAGAAGATCATGGTGTTCTTGTGGTTCTGGTTCATCATCGTTGCTGTGGCCTCTGGACTCGGGCTTTTGTACCGAATTGCAGTTGTGTTCACGTCCCAGGTCCGATTGGTGCTTTTGCGATCCCGATCAAGACTCTCCTCAACCGAAGACATTGAATTCATCAACTCGAAATGTGAGATCGGCGATTGGTTTGTGCTCCATCAGCTCGGCAAGAACATGGATCCGCTAATCTTCAAAGAGTTCATTAGTGATTTGGCGATGAAGTTGAACGGAAAAGAGCCCTGAATAAGTGAAAGGTGAGCATTCGTTTATCTGTAATTTCAGTCCCTTTCTGCTCTGATGAACACAAATTTAAACGAAAATTTTTTTCAGATTGTGAACAGATTCTGACTTGCGCATGCTGGTGTTCCTGATTGCGGATCAACTGCAATTATCATCTTTTATTGTGGAACTACATCAGAAGGATGCTGTGATTAACTTTTCTTGAAAAGAGACATATAGAGCGGTTCTGTTTGAGAGCTTCCATTCCATTATGACTATCTGCTGTCTTTTGTTTGCTTATTGCAAAACTTGTACATTTTGTGACATTCCTGACTTCCTGTTGACAGGAGGAGGAGCTTCAATGGAGGACCAAATTTATTTTCTTTTTTGGAAAAATATTCTGTCTGGGGACCAATTTTTTTGGTGGATGGGTGTCATTGGAAGAGCGCAGCAATGAATGTGCAGCATGTCATATATTTTCATAAATGTGAAGTTTATGGTGGAAAAAAAGCATTTTTAATGTTCCTGGTGACTTAATTTTCTTTACCTGATTGAAAATATGTCTTGATCAAACAACACAGAAGATCCTCCATCAAGTGTGTAAAATGATCACTGAAAGATAAAGGTCTGGTTTTATTCACATTCATTCTTGAATAATTTTTCCAGATTTTACTAAATCTCTGCTACCAAATCTTGTACAATTTCATCTGGTAGAATCATGCTATAAAATTGGTTATAACCAAACATTGCTGTAAAGAAGTAAGACAAAGGCACTGCTATTGGCACTGCAACCAGAGTCGAAATTGATGCCACTGATGCCAGCATTGACAAAATCATCAAAATTTTTGTTATAACCAAAGAGACCACCAGCAAAATTGTCAATCCCTGATTCAAATTAGAATTGTCTGGTGTTGGAGCTTTAGTAGTTGTTGTTGCTTTTGTTGTTGAACTGATTTCAGCAGTCATGTTTTTAGTGACTGGGACTGTTGGTGTATGTGTTGTTATAGTATCAGCAGTATTAGTTGTTGAAGATATTTCAGTGGTTGTGGAGTCAGTTGTTACCATCTCAGTGGTCTCTGTGGTTAGTTCACTGGTAACTGTGGGACAATTGCACTCACACAAAGTTGTACCTATGGTTGTATCTGTAAAATCTTTGGTTACAACAGTTGTTTCAAAGGTTGTGCTTATGTCTGCCTTGAATACCTTGTTAGTGTTTCTTGAGGTTACATTGAGTAATCTTTGCTGACTGCCAGGGACTTCTGTGTTTGAGTCAGTTTTAGTACTGTTTGACAGTCTGATCAAGGTCCATGATGGTAAATGGTGCAAGTGGGTTTCAAGGTAGTCTGAATTTGTGTGAACCTTATTGAAAGAAGTCCATGAAGGTGGAGGAATGGTGGTAGATGCATAAAAGCCACTAGTGGAGACCACAGTAGTTGATGGTGAAGCTGGCTTTGATTTCATTGCAGATGGGTTAGGAGGAACAATTTGCCAAACTTTGTTATTGTTGATTCTTGATGCATCAATAATGCTGATGGGTCTTCTTGCTGAATCCAGTGTCTCTTCTGTGGGTCCAATCATGCCACTGTATCTTGCAGCAGGTGAGTCCAATGTAGGAGGGAGTGATTTACATCCAGGATATGCACAGCCAGCAAGTTTATTTGTGGATTGAGGGTTGGTGCCTCTTGTGTGGAGTTGATTGGCCCAATATGTGGCCCCAGGATCCTGATTTGTGAGTCTTGGGTTGGCAGGGGCAAAATGATTCCATGAAGCATTCCACAGAAGCATAGACCACAGTAATTTGACCCCATGAAGAGGGGCTATCCTGTGAAACAGGCTCTTTGACATTGGGCACTGAGCTCTGCAAGGATAAGAAGATTTTGACAAGACATAAGCAATAGTATTTACATGCACCTGTCCCAAACTCCAGTTGGAAGTAAAAAAACCTAACCCCCTGTTTTTATGGGTCCAAAAATTTGCATACTTATGTGTTTTTTACTCTTTTTGGATATTTTTATGCTAAACATAATTCCCCTCAGTGTAGTAATCAAAAGTACTGAATTCGCTCTCATATTCACACCCTCTAAAACCCTTGTTTTTCTGCACTTGAAACCTGTACATTTTACTGAAACTTGAACAGCATTTCAGGATTTTTAAATCTAAACTTTCAGAAATTCAGAGCTAGAAAATGCAAGAATTTTTTCTTTTCTCTTTTCCATATTTCCTGATCAGTGATTCATCTGCAGAGCATCTTTCACAAAAACATTTCACCTTGACTCCACTTTTGTGAATTGCATATGAAGAAGAGATAAAACCACAACCTGTTCACACTCCATGCAAAAAAAAGGAATCTTGTTCCAATGTGTGTCCATATATAAAGGTAAACAATAACATGTCTTTAAAGAAAATGTCTTACATTGAGATCCTCCTGCAGAAATGAAGATTTTGAAGAAAGGGGTGTTCATTCATTCTACATGAAGTTGTAATGTTGATCATACTGTAGTAAAAAAAGTGATACATCAGAAGTAATAATGATTCTCTGAAAAAAAAAATCGCAGATACAGTGTGAGATCCAGTTATTGATTCAAGCTGTGTTTCAGCAAAATCTTGCACAATATCCCTTTATATATTTTTTCAATTGAATAAACTCAGTTTGGGGTAAGCATCAGAGTGACCACTGATTGTCATCTAAACTGTCTACCAGTCACTTTGAAAAATAAATGTGTTTCAGTGAATCTGGAATATTTATTTTTTTGCAAATGCATTTTCTTCCAGGCTACACACTCTTGAGAGTCTTGATATAGAGCTAATCATCATCATACTTCACTTTTCTACATGGAAATACAGCACTAAAATTTATTGTTCTGAAAAATATGAAGTTTTGGTAAATAATTGGAAAGGTCAGGTCATTGTGCCTCATATCTTTGACAAGCTAGATGAATTATCCAACCGCATTATAAATGAAACAGCACTTCAGTTATCTATATACTTTTAGTTCAGTCCCAACAGTCTGCAAATAGAAGCAAGTGAAAGCCATTTCTATGGAACACCTGAAAACAGCTTTTCCTTTCAATCATAACTTTTTCAAGATTCCTGTACAACATCCAACAGAACAAAATTGCAACTGATGCATCACTGCAATGAAATTCAAAATAAAAAATTCACCTTTATTCCAGAAATATTCTGTGTAAGATCATCTTGAAAAAAATAGAAATTATGGTTGTGAGAGGAGGAATTGGCAAGTTTCATTGGGATTCATGTACAATTTTTTGAAATTCTTGCTCAACATCCATCAAAAAAAAATTTCACTCAACTACAGAATAGTAAAATTTGTATAAAAAGAAAAACCATCAGATATATTTTAGAGGAATTCTGGAACAATCTTCATAAATAATCAAGAGAAGGAAATTTCAAGTGTAGCATCTAAATTTTTTCAAGTATAAAAAAAATACTGCAGTTTCACTAAATCCTTGCCATTGATTTTGAAATTTCCACATGGTATCTGTAATTTACAAAATGAGTAAAATAAGCAACTTTTAATCTGAATCACAAAAAAAATTTCAATCCAATCCCATAATTTTTCAAGGGAGAATTTCAATGTTTCTTACACAAGGAAAAATTGAACACAGCTGGGTTGGAGTTCAAAGACACACTGACAATGCTTCAGGCTTTCGTTCTTCCATCTCCAATAGAACTGGGGTGTGGGAAACATGTTTTAGGTTTTGTGAACAACAGAAATGGGGAAACATCTCGCCCACACTTTCTGGCATCGATTTTTCAAAAGGGAATTCGAAATCCACTGAAAGAAAAGAAAAAAAAATTGTCCAACCTGTCTTCAGAGTTGTTTGTTTTCCTGCTTGGCTGAGTTTTTAGGTTGGCTCTGTGACAAGTGAATAGGATTAAAACAAATGAGATTGAATACTTTTTTCTGCATGTCAGGAATAAATTCTATAGAAAAATACTAAATGATGAAACACTTATTCATAAAAATAGATTTTTCTTCTCACTTGTATCAGTCCTTTAATAAATTCCCATTGTTGAATTTCTTATTATGTATTTTATTGTTAATTCTGTGATGTAATGGTTGTTAGTTGATCATTTCTGAAAAATGAATATTCAGGAAAATTTGAACAAGTACAGCAATATTTAAAATTTAAGGAACATTTAAGTCCGCTTACACATGAATTACATTTGTTTTAGTACAGCTAACAGCAAATAATTGAAGTTCTGAAGAATTTTATAGAAACTTCCTACTAAAAACGCACTCTTATGAGAAGATTATGAAAGCTTTTGAAATGTCTCTAAGTATGATGTGAGGTTTTAAATCTTTTTCTCGGTGTTTAAGGCACAATTGCATGTTTCTTGTAACAATAGTTCTTCGGTAACGTATTACCAAATGAATGCTTCAAGAAACTCCAATTTCCATCTTCTGTGCTCTACGTCACGTTCAATTATCAGGAAAAAGTGTTCGATTCTGTCAACTCAGTATAGAAAATGAGTGACTCATATGTTCTCAGTAGGTCAGCAGCATGACAGAGTATAAAGGGGAAGGTATGTGATTTATTCTTGAATCCAAATAATGCGCACAATTTATCAGCATGGATTTCGCGAGATATCTATAAATCATCGCAAATAAAACCTGAAAAATGTTAGCCTTGGATCAATGTGAAAAGTTGATGAACTGCTCCCCAAACGCGAGTGAAGTAGTTGTCAGTCAACGGATGGGTCCTGTTGGGGAACAAAATGCTCTTGAGGTCAGCCAAACTCGGACTCGGCTCTGTGGTGGACCGACGGCCAGCGCCATCTTGATTGTCGTCAGAGTAGGACCATGAGGATTGTCCAGGGCTCGGTGGAGGAGGGCTGACGTACCGTTGTTGAAAAACTCCTCTCACAACGTCTGAATTATCCGTGTCATCTCTTGCAAACCTTGCTGCCTTGTTCTTCTCTCCGATTCTGGTATCATCGTAGTGAAGGCGATGATGACCTTGTGCGACTCCCGCGTTTTTGTTGAGCTCAGCCGCCTCGCC